CTAGTGCTTGGTGGTAGGGCATGAATGGGAACAGAGAATGAAAAAGATAGAAAGAAGAGTCACTCCTTCTAGAGAGTCCTTTGGATGGAGCGAAAGGTATTTTTGATCAAAGCTACATGGCCCTGTGCTACACAATGGTGGAGATGGGAGGTTTTAGGAGCAAAAGAAAACACAAGAGCCAGTGTCACTGGTTGGTATGGAGTGATATGTTGGTTGGCAGATGTCTAAGCACAAGGCAGGGACCTAGACATTTTAGAAAAGCATAAAATAACAACTAAATGAAGACACTTGGCTGGGTTGGCTCAGTCAGGGATGATCTTGCCTTGACCAGGGGGCTGGATTAGATGACTTCAGGGGATCCTTTCCAGCCCTACCTTCCTAAGATCCTAAGGGTGGAGAAAACTTGAACATTTGCTTGTGAGCTTTGTGCTTAATCTGATGATGTCTTGGTTTTGAGTGCATGGGGAAGGAGGTAGCTGTGTGCAGTCTGATAACTGTGCCTCCTGGTCTCCAGCTGTGCATTTTCCAGGGCTCATAAGTGCTTCCAGAATGAATCTCTGTTTTGACCATTATTATGTATTCTTGGCATTGGACACGTGGGGACCAAGCATGGTATGGTGTATGTTAGGTCTCGACAAAAGATGGTTGTGTCCTCAGAGGCAGACTGATGCATATTATCTGCAAGGAGCCTGTGATCATCACCATCCTGTGGATTCATCCTTTGTAATTCCTGCTTTTCCTGTAGGTGATGCTTATTCTGAGTTTGGCAGCAGAGCTTTTGAGGTTAAATAAATTCTACCAGTGCAGGATCATCCACTTGTGTCACTGCACTGAGATAAACCAAAATGCACTGGTAGCATCATTTCATTGTAAGATATGTCATGTGATTTCACTATTGTCTGTAAGAGGATACACTTGATTTCCACTGCTCTCTTCAAATTGATCCCAAAGCACTGTACAAATGCTCCTAACTGACCAGACAAACTGCTGGCATTTAGGGATCATTTTATGCATTACTGAATTGGGGGCCATCTCTAGAACTGAATTCTGCATCCTTCTCTTCCCTGCCCCAGGTGTTTCTTCAGGCTCCCTGACATCATCCTGGAAAGTCTGTCCCTTTGTGTGAGTCTTTAGAAGCTATCGGTTCAAATACTGGGTGAGAGTAATTTTAGTGGAGAGTCATTAAAAGGGATGGGGATGTTCCCATTACCTCCAAGATGGGATCGATTGGGAGTCAGTTACTTAGAGGCCAAAGGCCCTGTATCTGTTGAACAAGCCAGAGCTCAGGTGCCATCGACATGTGCTTCTCTAGGTTTCAGCATGTAGCTTTTCTTGCTCTCCAAGGGGCTGATGGGATGCAGGTGGGGAACCCCTGCAGCTGCCTATGACCTCTGTTGAAGTTGTAGCTTATCAGCATATTTCAGAAAGCAAGGCCTACATTTAAAGCAATGCTTATCGAAGCTGTGCTATGGAGGAGGCATCTCAAGGGTCTTTTAGTTGAGGTCTGCACTTTCACATCTTTCTGGCAACACTCCTTCAGGCAGAGAAGAGGCTTTTAATGATGGCTCAGCCACCAAAAGGCCTAGCAGTTATGTTGGTCGTAAAGTCCTTTTGCTGGTAGAGTGTATTTTCCTCGACAAATCAGAATACTTTGTATTGATCAACACAGTTTCTGACTTGTATAATAACATCTATTATAGGTGGGGTTTACTGGTATTCTTGTATTAAAAAAAAATAGGTATAACCAAAATAGCAAAATTTAAATAAGGTCTAATCATGATGACTGTTAACCACATTTTTTGCTCACTTCCACAATGTCCCTATATCCACAGCAGGTCCCTCTTTTAGGACATGAGGAACCAAGCTGATGCAAAAAGGTTCAGGAGAACATCCATGCAAACATAGCCCTGTGAAGTTGCTTCCCATAGCGTATGTTGTTGTCTCTTCAGGCTGACTGAAACGATGGCCAGTTTAACAGGGTGAAGCAAGAACTGGTGGGGGAACTGGGGCTGGTACGTGGTGCTGCTGGGAGAGGTGGCGGCAGCCTGCTTTGCAGGGTGGGGAAGGGGTGAGTTGTGTGTGGAATCCATAAAGGCGTGTATAGGATGAAAAACCAAAGCTCAGGAGCTAGCAGCAATGGGATGGAAACTCAGTGAGCCTTGCTCTTCCATTCAAGGTCATACTGATTTGGAGTCAGGAAGGATTTTTTCTTCTAGGTAAGACTTCCAAGGACTGTGGGGGGTTTGTCTTCTTCTATAGAGTGGGAGCAGGGTCCTCTTTCTAGGATCCTTTGAATCGACATTAGCCAATTACTTCTGTTGTTGCAGCGGCAGGGCATTGTCAGTGTCTTCATCTCCCCTGCTGTTACCTGTGGCATGTTGCAGCGGGGTCGAAGCATATCCTTTTTTGTGTCTTGCAGTTGTGTGTGAGAGTTTGAACCAGTGATTTCTTGGATAAATCATTGCCAGCCAATGCAGGGGTCTGGACTTGATAGCCTGGGAGTCCTCTTCCAGTTCTTTTCTGTCTTGAAGATAAGGGGAATATAGACAAATTCTAAGGAAACATCTATGACCAACCAGGTAGATCAGCAGGATATCCATCTTGTAAGGGGAGTGGCTGAAGCCCTAGGGGTAGAGACATTTAAATAGAAGCAACAGATCTCCAGAGGACAGTTTTGAGGTCATGGAAATCTGTGGATCTCACCCATTGCTAGTGCCTGCAGCGCTTGCCAGCCTCTTCTCTTCATGTCTGACTTCTCAGCATTCAGTGAGAAGGTTACCCCCAGAGTGCACCCTTCCTGCTGCATGCAGTCACCTGCCATTTGTGCACAGGTCCACAACAAGTGTGCACATACATGCACGCCCACATGCAGACGCTCATAGTTGCGCACTTTTTGTTTGTCCTTTGAATGCCTTTTAGTTTCGATGCAAACGGAAAACACCTGATTGCTGCTTATGTTCAGTTATACTCCCAACAGAAGCATGAGGCGCAGAAGCTGAATTCTTCTGTTTCCTCTAATGTCACAGGAGCTGAGAATTATCCGGGTTCTGAAAATAACTACAAAAAAAAGAAAAAAACCGGCACGAACCTGCCAAAAGAGACTCACAATAAAGGGAGAGACTTTTCCTTGTGACTAAAACACCTGTCACAGCTGCCAGGAATCCGTTAATTACACAATAATTTTATTATGTCCCGCTCGAAAGAACAAACAATACTTGAAGTCTGCAAAATGAGCGAGCTTTAGAATAGATTAATGCAGTCAGAATGTCTGAGCGGAGCCCGTATTCTCTGGATCCGCTCAGAAGCTCCAGGAGAGTAAAACGACTTGAAGACTCTCTTCTTTGTTACTAGCACCACATAATAAAGTAATTGTGCAATTAGAAATAGATTAGTGACAGGAGAGAGACATTTTCTACGTGGCGCAGGTAAAAGGCAGGATAACTTGAATGGGTTTAAAGCCTGAATGCAGCAGCTCTGCTCATCTTGGGTTGACCTACTGTTAGCCTCTGGCAGCTTCCAGAAAAGAAAAGAGAAGTGTCTCCAGCTGGCTGGGATTTTTCTTCCCTCAGTGTCTGAATAAATTGCTGTGTGTTTGATTAGGGATCTGAGGAGTGCATCCTCGCAGAGGCTTGCAATGAAATGCTGTCTTTCCTAAGCTCTTCAGGGTCCCCCATTTGTACAGGAGAGGTAGCCAGAGCTTGGGATTGTAGGCCTACAGACGGGGCTGTAGGGTGGAGGGTCATGCCGGTGGGATTAATAGGGGGAAATACATTCATAATGAACCCTGAAGTTTCATAAGGTGTCTGGCCTTGAGGACATTCCCTCATTGAAAATTGTAAAAAATAGCCCCCTAAAATCAGAGTATAACTGAGGCTTGTAAAATACTGGTGGTTTGAGAAGCAGGACATGGCTTCAACGTCAGCTTCAGGGCATCAGTGTGCATCTGGGAAATGGCACGTGTCTGTGTGGAGTTGGACATCTTGTTCTCGTCTGTATGTGCATGTTATGCGTGGTTGCGGGGGTGTGAACACATGGGGTTTAGTGGGTAGTCTTTGCAAGAGGGCAGGGATGTATGTGTGGGTGTTTGGGATGTGAGAATTACAAGGAGAGAGGGTATAGAGGTTTGGGATGTTAAAGGTGGCTGTGGAGCTGGGTATTTGGATATCTTGGGAGAAGAGAAGGGGTGTTTTTCATAGAATGGTCATCTAAGTAGACTGTGGCAACAGGTCACACACCACTTCGGTTCCCGCTGAGCAACAAGGGTCAGCACTTGCTTAGAGGGACAGTGTGGCAAGAGGACTTGGGCCTCTCCATTAGGCCTGCCACCTTTCACTATGTCTGGATGGTGGGATCGATAAAACATCCCTGTGAGTGAGCAACAAGATGGGGAATGGGAATTCAAAAGTACTTGAGAAGAAAACAGGCAAATTAGAGCTCAGGAGGGAATCACCTGGGCTTGACACAGCTCAGTGCAGACCTTGCTTCTGCCTCCTTCTAGAGCTTGCCTAAGGCCTCCACGACTGGCCTTGGGGAGCCATCAGGTTTATGTCAGTGCGGGTGTGGTTGGACCAGAAGAGGGTGGAGTTGAGAGATTAAGCAAGTGGGAGAGATGGTCTGAGCATAAATTAGAAACCTAGGAAGCATCAGGCCAACATTGTAGTATTTGACCAGGAACTGGACTATCTCATATTACCCCCGAGAGCAGGGCTGGGGTCTGTACTGTAGCTGTTCTGGAAGCAGAGGGCATTAGTCTTGAAGATTAGCAGACTGGTGCCTCTGAACTTGATGGATCCCTCCGCTTCATGTGTTATCTGGGAGAACAGATCACTCAGGATCAGAGAGCGTCCCTGCATAATTAACCCTATGCAAGAAGTTGGACATAATGTTTTCCCAGTTGATGGAGCTAACCCCAATGAGCCATGAATTGCAATTAATAGGGGGATCCAAGTCTCTCATTTCTCCATTGTTATACCTGATGATTTTTTGTGTGATGCTTTTAGGTCCGGTGGCAGTGATCAGCGGTGAGGAGGACTCCGCCAGCCCTCTCCATCATATCAACCATGGCATCACCACGCCGTCATCATTGGATGCTGGCCCAGACACGGTGGTGATCGGCATGACCCGTATTCCTGTCATTGAGAACCCCCAGTACTTCCGACAAGGCCACAACTGCCACAAACCAGACACATGTAAGTGCCTGATCCAGTTGGATCCTTGTGGCGATGGGGCGATGAGAATGAGGGTGGGGAAAGAGCCGGGGAAGGAGGAAAGAGAAGGAGGAAGTTAAAGAGGAGGAAGAATGTGGTTGGAGAGGAGAATGGGTCTTGTATGGTTCAGAAACCAAACTGAATCTCAGGTCTCAAGCATCACAGCATACATATAGGAGACTTCCCACCCTCACCCTCCACCCCACCTTCACCCTCCCGTCACCACCCACCAATCACCTTCCCCACATGAGGCAGCAGCACCTGAGAATGGTGTCTACAGATGTCTGCACTGGCCACTCTACTAGGGCAGTAGCAAGAGCAACTTGGGAGCACGACGCATTAGAGAGACCAGCTGCCTCCCTGGGTCCCCTTCTGACCTCAAGAGACTTTCTCACCTTGTAGCCAGGGCTGCCTCCTTAGACCTCTAGCTGTCCAAAGGGCAGGGGCAGTAGGCTTCACAGACAGGGCAGATGCATGGACAACTTCTGGAGAAAGAGGGCAACAGATCCAGATCTCTATTACTTATATACAGGGGCTGTCGAATAGCACAAAATCTCCCCATGCCTGTGTACGCTGTGAACTCAGTCTATTCAAATAACCAATATCATCCTCACCCGCTCCTGAAGTTCCTTCCCCACTGAGCAGGAGCCCTCATAAGCTAATAATAAAATCAGAGCTATTAAAAGGATGCTTCCTTGGGAATATGGGTCACCACTTTCCATGGCTGCTCCTGGGGTCACTCCTGCCCCAAGCGTGGAGTCCTTGCTCAGTCAATAGAGGAGGTACTATCCCGTCTCTGCTTCTTCAGCCTTTTCTAATCTCCAGAAACAAACTGTACCACGTGGAAGGTTCAGATCATCTCCTCTCCCATTATTTTTCATCTTTTCTGCATGTCTTCGTTCCAGCTAGGACTGGATGTGACAAAAGGTTGCAAGAAAAGTTATTGTCGCTCCCTTTCTGGCTGGTTAAAGGTGGGAAATATGTTTCTGGAGAGTCACCTCCTGTCAGATTTCCAGACCTTGATGCATAAGCCGAGGAAATCTGACTCCACATCTGGACTTTGAGGCGCTTGTTGGCAGCACACAGCCGAGCCTACAGAAATGCACCCAGCGTGGAGCGTTAGGCAGGAGGTTGATTCTTTATGGCCACTTCTCTTACAGTCAGGTGAAGGCGAGCAGTGCCCTTCCTCTCATGCAGAGAGGTCTCTCTGACTAGCCCGACTGCTTACCCTCACAGGAGCTCATAGAGGAAAATCAGGAGCTGGGCCTCCAATCCAAAGCTGCTGATCATTGCGCTTCAATCACCAGAGCAATGGGGTGTATCCAGTTACTGTGCCTGACTTTCTCTTTGATTTTTTTTTTCTTTTATTGTATGTATTGTGGTCTGTTTGTCTAGAGAGGGGGAGGGGGGCTTGATTAGATAGAAGGAGCCAAGGAACCTGGAAGTAGCGTAGTATTTCTGTGCCGTTATTTGTGTGTTCTCTGTTTCTTAAAGCACCTCAACTTGAAGCGATTTACAGACTGGTGGCTTGTTTTCTCTCTTTCTCTTGTCTCTCTGTTGTATATAGCGACCATGTGGTTTTGTAAGCAGCATTCGAGTAGGGGTGGTAGCAGCTCAAAGGATCATGTTTTTTCTCCGAGTTATGCCCTCTGAGTCTCGTCAAATTTTATCAGGGTTGCAGGCGAAGTAGATCACAGCAGGATTTGGCGAAAATGTTTCACGGATTCAGTACAATTAAAACCTGAAAAGTTCAGCATGCAGCAATACCACTTAGGGCTGTAATCTGTATCCGTTTCTCCTATGGAACAGGCCACATGGGGAAAGTTTAACATTGTAAATCCACATGCTCATGGAAAATCACTTGCTTCTAGACTTGCCTGCCAAGACTCAGCCTAGAGCCAGTAGTGTGGAAGACAGGACTTCATTCTTTACATGTGTCTTCAGGTGCTAACCATGGTCAAGTCTTGGCAGGCTAAAAGCTCTTTAATGATTTTCCAGAAGCGTTTGGAATTACCTGTCCCTAATTCTGTGAATGCTAGGAGACCAAAGACAGGGTTGTTTTTTGGTGTTTCTTTATATTTTAAGACCCAATCTTTCAGATCTTCCCCAGCAAACCTCCCAGTCACTTCAGTGGCTCTGCTGCCTGTGGAGGAGGGATAAATCCCTGGATATTTTTGCACTTCACCTTTGAAATTGCCAGACTTTTTGGAGCCCTGTTGTAGATTCCCTTTTGTTTTGTATTTTCCCCACATGGCTCTAACCAACCTGAATTTGGTCTGGTGGGGCTGGCCTGGGATGGTTTTGCTGTTCTCATTCCCTTAACAGTTTACAGAGCTTGTTTCTCCTCTCAAAAACTTGGACACAACTGTATTTTTCCACCTCTACCACAGAAGGAGAGAGGAACAGGAGGAGAGATACAGAAGTCCACTGGTACCCGGCAGAGTCTATATAGGAAGAGCATTGGTTTAGTGCTTGGGCATGTCAGTGGCGAGTAGGCACTTTCCTTTTGATCCGTCCCATCCATTAAATCCATGGCCTGGGAGCAAGTCTGTGCAGTCTGGCATTAGCAAAGACATTAGCTCCAAGTAAACTCTGCAGCCCAGCTTCTGTCCTGTGCATACTGGTTTTGCTAATGTACCATGCTTGCATTCACGTGGCTTCTCCTCCTCTTTAGCTTTACTTTCTTCTTACCCCATCAGCATCACCAGTTGGCTGGCCATACTGCTGGGTGGCGCCTGGGCTGAGGACATGCCGATACCCATTACTGAACTACAATGAGGAGAAAGAACTCTATATGCTTAATGTAGTATTAATAGTACATTGGCGTGATATAGATTTCTGTCACCCTCTATACTAACAAACATCGCTTATCACACGGGAATGACGGATGTTTATTCCCAGCCACTTAGTTCTGCATAATGGAATTGCAGATGAAATATGGAAAACAGCTCGCTGCCTGCTGAGCTGTGGCCCCTCTCGCCGCTGCTGTACAATGCTGTCCTGTGGGTTCTCCTCTAGCAGGCCCATTAGTTAATGCTGTCTGCAAGGAGACAGAGACATTTGTTACTGACTATGGATACACTGTCCTTTCCCTGCTAATAGGATGAAGGATGTGGGACCTGGCGCTCTCACCTATGACTTTCTGGGAGCCCTGGCTTCAGGGGGTTTTCTTTTTCATTTCCTGGCCGCTCCTCCCAGAATGAAGGGAACAGAAGGGATGCGTGTGGGTCTTAATCACTCTTCTGTTCATTGGTAGAAGGGGCTGTATCGCCCCGTCCCTACACTGTGAAGGGCTGACTCTTCTGGACTTCTTACTCTGCCCCTTCCCTCCTTTCTGGCCCCCCAAATCCTGCAAGCTTCAAGTGCACATTGCCGTGGTTGCACTAGGGTTTGGAATGACTTGTTCAGATAAACCAAAGTTTTGCTTAAGTGATTCTCATGCCAAGACAGAAGATTTAACCAAGGGTCAGGTCTTAGATGGGGTGTAGCCTGGGCATATTGATCTCAGATTTGCTTGCAATAAAGCCCTTCTCCCCTACACCTCCACCCCCAGTTGTTGAAGTGGGATTGGGTGGATGCATCTTTTTTACTGAATGTTCAGGGCACAGGAAGAGTGGCAGGTTCTGATGAATCTCTGCTCCATTACCATCTGGTAATAATACACTTCAGACAAGATGTGGGTCTAACTCGGTTTGGGCCAGGGCACTGTAAAGAAAAAAACTCATCAGATGGAAGAAAGAAAAGAACTCAGCAGTGGATCAGATGGATCCATCCCATGAGCAACACTTGTCACAAAGTAAAACATGACTCATGCTATCCTCAAACATTTCCTGAAAAGGACTATCAGTTCTTGTGGGCAGGAAATGGCATTTTGCTACAACAATTAACCACACAATCAATACAAAGCAATGGATGTTTGCCTGGGACAAATTTTACATGGTTGCAGTTGTGTTGATGGGAGAGGTCGGATGTCACTATTTTGACCAGGAATAGATGCACTCGTTGATAACAATGGAGGTTTTCCATGCTACCTCCCATTTACCCATTCTCATTGGATTCGGTGGGATCTGTTTTGCCATCTACATTTAGGATTCCTGATGATGCAAAACGGGCAATTAGGAGGAGCTGCAGATTTCTAAGATCAAAAATTTGAGATGTCGTATGGAAAGCTTTGGAGGCTCACCTTGCTTTACGTAGTCATAAATAACCAAGTGGACCCTGCAGGTATTAAGGAAACTTCTTGATCTTTAGGCTCTGTACAAATACTATAGCAAATTCTGCAGTCATACCTGTTTAGCCAGAACAAATACCTTGGGAAAGGTTTCTCTAGAGAAATTTTGCTTGTTTTGAAACTCTTCCAGAGCAGCAGTAAAAAGAGGGCGTTTCAACATGAGAAATAGTGTCCTTGAAAGGATTTAATTTTTGTTGAAACTCCATCAAGAGAATGTATGTGAAGCAATGGTTAGTTTGGGGGAGTTTGCTAACTCTGAATGGGAGGCTTCTTCCGCAGTAAAAACAATGGCACTGGAGACATTTGATGACTGCTTTGTTGTTTGCTTCTGCTACTTCTGACTGGCAATGACTGGCACTTGGCTTATTTTCCACTGTTAGGACTGGTACAGCCTTAGCACCGTGATGCGGTTGCCACATGGGCAGAGCAGACGTCCTTCCATAGAGTTCTAATGAGGGCTTTTTTATGACCTCATGTATTACAGGCTGCCCTGACATAATTACATATTCAAAGTTAGTAATTACACATATTCATGCTAATTAAGTAATTAGATATAATTATGCTAACTGTAAATACATGGTAATCTGCTAAAAAGAAGTACTTCAAAAAAACCAAGACAAATTGCACAATAAAGGCACCATCAGCAGCCTTTTATACACATCACTGTCTTTTAAGAGGGACAGCATGGATGGTCCTTTCAGAAATCATACTTATTAGGAACATAGGGAATCTGTTTGTTTGTTCATCAGCT